CGGTAACCATCCATACCTGTGATTAATTTCGAACCCCTACAGTGAATCACTATCATAGGGTTGAACACCATGCACAATGAGTAACTTGGCAAAATTTGGATAAGATGCTGCAGAACGTAATCGATGTACCATCGACCTCAAAGCCTTTTGTACCAACGGAATTTATCACTGGGAAACAACATACGACAGCAAACCAACGGATCGCAGCCTGAGTTCAGGTCGGATAAAGGTCAGTGTTCTTAAATGAATTGTGGCGAAGCAGATAACTCCAATGCAAATGTAGTGTGGACAGTAGGATCCCAGCGGTGCAGTCCTGTCAAATTGCACCCGAAGCGAAAAGAAAGCTGCAAACTTTTGCGCCTTGCCTCACTAAGCAAGTATTAATAGGTTATTCAACGTTGTCCCTCACCGAGAGAAATGTTGACTGAATGCACACCAAACGTCGGCCATTCATTCACGATAAAAATCGGCAGTTTAATTTGGTAACTAAAAATATTTCTCTCCTAGGCGATGAGTAACCAACCATATCTGTCCTCCTAGCTGATCATAGTTGAACGGCTTGTTATTTTTCCGATCAGTTTATGACCGTTGTGCCCTACATTAATGTATCACCATACCCATGCAGGCATACCTCGCATTGTCGAGAGTAAACTATTTATTTATTTAATCAGAACAAGTCAACTTTGATGACTTTAAAACATCTATATGAGGATTGTAGAGGTGGTTTGCGAGATCCATACCCGGATTTGCTTCTGCTACGGAACAGCTCACTCCCACGCACCGATCATGTCACCGTGAATGGTGACGAACCGTTTGCAAGCGAATTGCCCAGCTCGGCGAACGCCGCAGCAAGTGGAGACACCCAACCCGAGCTACCGGAATTTCGTCTGATCTCCAACGGTCGTTTTTCTTAGGCGTTTCAGATCACATTCACTGTTTCTGGTGTATCGACGCATACACATAGCGATGCTCAGAGTGCATCACCATCATCATTCTGTACATTGGATAGAGGTGTGATAAAAAAACAGCATTTCGCCCTTGCGCCGCGTGAACGATGCATCCACCATCAGTCACGCGTGAGCTAGTGATTCTCCTGCATCTACACCTATTCGTACCGGAGACTTTTGGGTTACAAGACACCCTATATTCCCTCGGCCACCGACCGAAGTAAGAAGCATCTCGGCCAACGTACCGCAATGTAATGTAGTTATGCAGCAGTAGAAAAGGCAGCACAAATACAACGAAAGCAACATAAAACAAAAATTGCGTTGAAACTGTGATGGCGGTTGGAAAGGAGGCTACGCTGAGCAAAGTATATCATAATAAAAATGCCTTTGAGGTTGACTCGTGATCAAGTCAACAAGTTTGCTTAACCAGGCGTGTTCGTCGCCTTTAGTATCCCAACCCGGAAGTCAGGAGGCCCCTGCCGAAGCCTAGATCGGAAGGAGAGCTCTCGTTCCTCTTGACCAAGTTTCAGCTTCCTCTCCTCATCTATCATCCATATCCGAGATGTGCAAAAAAAACGCAATTCGTTGAAGTCGGCGTATTGGTATGCGTGCACAGTAGTACATCGCATGATAAGTAAAAAGTGATCTGAGGGAATTTAGTTCTAAGTGTGGGCACATATATAGAAGTATCGCGACAAACAGCAGCTGTTGACACGCTTACCTTCACATCATTCTCAACATTATCGTGCTTTGAACTCATGTACAGCTCAGCGTGACACATGCTTATGCACCTAATACAGAATTTGTCGATGGCTTACAGTATCGTACGTATTGCGGACATAGGTGAACACATGCTGGAAAACCGCACATCTTAGTAACCATTTTTCGCAGCTTTACTTATCGCAATCCTATGCACTTCATATGGCAAATCTCAAGGAGTCCTCCTTTGGATGCCGTTCCAGACCATCCCCATTCATTGATATATGCGTATTTACCACTTGGTACACATTTTCTTCGCCAGTATTTGTGTCACTGTCCTACCCAACTGTGGCTATATTTGGACCGCGTTCCGATGTCGGTCACTTTGTGAACTCATCAATCGCACTCCATAGATGGGAATTGCTCTTATCATTCTACATTTGTGACTTCGGACCACTTGCAGTTTCAAAGGCATGGCCACCCTGTTCCAATGCGGAAACCTTCTGCTGTGCACTATGCTATCATCCACTGAAACAACCGCGTTACTGTCTACGTTTTTTTCCAGTGTCGCGTGTTACTAATGTTTTACAGAATTTAGAGTGCGATCTCTACCGCAAAAGTTGATTTTTCAGAGCCAGCTGGTCTATTCAGCGAAGTTAGGCTAACGGGACTTACAGAACGTTTGACTCATAAAACACCAGCATATATACCGTTCGAATGCTTCCACAGGCAGCGAGTTTTTTGGACCGACTAGGTTGCTTCTTTGACTCAGTCGGACGAACGGCGAGGAACTCACCGTACTGTGCATGAACTTTGGCCAATCAGCAGAGCTGTGTGGATAGAACACTACGTCAGGCTTAGTCTCCATGGGCTATCTGTATTGTTCCTCGGATTCGACTGTCTTATCTGGTATGCACTCCAATGATGCTTTGGTATTATTTCAACAACTATGGCTCAATAAAAACCCTCACACTGGCCTGGTCCATGTGTTGAAGTGTTAGAACAATGGGAGACACCAGCCTTTCTTCCCCCTATTATCTATCCAACCATCCACCAACATGCGCCTGATCATCGTAATGGGGGGATTAACTCTGATGTTACGATAAGTGTGTCCAGATCAGGCAAGAACGGTTTTGCTGTATCCAAGGATTTTCTCAACGCACCTCTCTGATGGCACGGTTGGTGGAACTGTCCTGTCTTTGCGGTGATCAATTCTATCACCGTCGATAAACACTAGATTTTTGGGGATTACGATTCACCTGCTGTCACCCTCCCACTTGCAGGGCGCCAATCGATTGTGCTGAGGCGCATACTCTATTTAGCCGTTATTACCAGACTATCATTCACCTGTAAGGCTTTTCCCACAGGAACGGGCTTGGGTGTGTATGATATGTCCTGGTTACTCGAGAACGGCCTCGTTTCTAGGTCGCGAGCCCAATCGGTTAGTCCAGCTTTGCCAGTCGTAATGTCTTATAAACTCAGCTCGTTACACATTGACGCATGATCGTATACTCACAGCTCTGATTTGCGCACAACTTCCCTGACTCTGGTGGGTCATTCCTTTGGTTAGTAGGAAAGTGGCATTACTCATTGGGCGTCATCACTCATTAATTGCTTCCCCTTGTGGCTGCTTGATTATTATCGATTAAAGCAATTGCAGCCATTATCTGACCCAATTCCTTACACCATTGATAGTTGTATTGTCTAATATACCACAATGATACCATCGTGCACAGGACAATGCTCATATGCTGATCGGATAATTCGGAAGCTTCTCAGATATGGTCAGCTGGGGGAACACATGTGGAATGTTTTGTTCTGACCAAAAGGGACACGCGTCAATGTTGCGTGTCCAAATGTTTAGAAATAACTCATTGTCGTATCCTTTACAAGCCGAGGGAAAGTTCATCTATAAGTATTTGTGAGCCAATCGTCGTAAGGATTAGTATGGTTCAAAATGACAGTACTGGTGTACATTAAATTTACTTGCGATAACAGTTGCGCGTCATGGCTGTGTCGGGAAAATGTTTTGCGAAGTGCGTCTCCGGGATCGAACACGTACTTTATATCCTGCATCTGTGAAACCCGGCCATTGTTGATAGACCCATTGAAAACTATCCCAATTGGTTGTTTTTAAACCCTTCTGAACTCGTTAAGTTCTTTCGTTTCTTCAAAGACCTTAAAACGCGCCAACGTTTAATAGTTCTCAATCGCTCATTGCACTCGTCTCGATCTTCAAAATTACATACGTCGCTTACTGACTAGTGTCCCGCTCCATGCGCCTATTTATTCGGATGAGGCGTTTCTTCTGTTTTGAAACTCATCTGGTACACTTCACGTGATTGCATCTTCCGAACCAGTGAATAACAGGAATGAGATGACCACGAGGAGAAATGTATTTTCATGTTGTCACTGCTTAATGTTAGTTTCATTCGCAGTGCGCTCGAACACAACATGGTAGCAGTATTTTAGAGCTTACTCATTTCACCTACCTCTTATACCGGATACTTTTAGCCAATTAACCATGAATATGCAAGCCACATAGACCGCGTTACTTTTTAATCGCCATCCCTTGCGCTGTCCGTTGATTCAATTTATGACTAAGGCGGCTCCCGTATGCAGCCGGGTCGTAGCCTTAAGCGTCACATACCTACCTTGTAATTCGAGGGCATGGGTTCAACTCTTGCATTATCCTTAACCTATGTGCATCTGGTGATTTTTGTGCAGTAGCAAAGCGTCTCTTTACTGCGCGCCGGTGTACTGCTGATGCCTCTATTCCATCTGCAGATCTCATGCTTCCGCGCTGCTCGTTATAATCGCCACAGTCAGTTCTCATTAATTCTACCATACGTTGTGCGGCACGCTCTTCATCACGGTCTCTGCGATATTCGGTTTACAGTCCACCTCTCAATCGATCAACGTTGCGCACGTGTTATGCAAATGCTTTTGTGACCTAACAGTCGGAGCGAAGTTATCACTCAGCTTGCAGCATCTCTCTTCACTGTGTCTCGGTGCATGCAGGCATTCCGTCTCGGTAGAAGACACAGTGTGACGTAAATGCTTTTTTCTATTTTCGGCTACATATTGCGGTCAACTGCTCACTGGGTGAATAGGTTCATCAGTCAATGAAAGCATTACAGTGGTGTTCATATTAAATATATCCGTCTGTCACTTTCATTGTTTCCATGTCAGTAGACTGCCATTCCACAGAGGTGCTTAGTGTGCACTGCTCTTTAAACGCATTTGTGGTCCAAATGTGCAAGTGAGAGGCTTTCAGGGGTGGCGTATGTGTTGCTGCCTCTTCAGCAGACATTCGCCTGTATTTTCGCAAAACGTTATCCTCCTCTCTTGCAGGCACGCAGTAGCTCACAGTGGCCGCCCAACAACATAAAGATGTCACCAAGCTCACCCACTGGAACGTCCTCCCCTATCCCATCTTCGAGTCCACTGTTGTACGGATATGCGACTACTGACAGCAAGCGGTATCGCGCTGTCAAAGCCGCCTATTCTCACTCTATTTCCCCCTCTCCGCACGATTCCACAAATGACCCTCGACCTCCTAGTCATGGAAGCGGCGTTGTGCTCATGTCCGTCCGGCCCCGTCAGTTTGATCGTACCCAGGATTATTTTATCAACCGACTGGCTGGTGACCTATTGGAAAACGCACAGTTATCAACTGTGCCCCGTCAGCGAGCCGCAGGTTTGTTTCGTTTTTGCTTCCTCGCATTTGAACCACTGGTTTTTAGAGAATTAATTGCCATCATTCACTTTTCTTCTGACCCATTCGCAATTATAGTTCCCTTGGCGCCACCCGACCATTTTCATCCATTCATCTATCTTTCTTCCTCCCAACCGACTGTTGTATTGTTACCCAATCAGTCGGCGGTTAGAAATCAGACGCACTTGGGCTCCTATCTGTGTGTGGTCCATTGGCGGCTGTACTTTTGTTATTGTTCCATTCCTCAAGTCGTCGTACCCGTCACAGCACCACCTGCTATCTTGAGGTCATGATGGCAAGCCACGGTAACATCGGCACATTCAGGGCGGCAATGAAATCTGGAATTGTGCTGTTCAAAGAATCCCTAACTACTCTTGCAGGTATTGCTCTCAGTGCTACTATGACTTTTAACTACCAAACACTAGTCCACCGTTTGGAATCTCAACAGGGTTATCTGAAGGACAAAAGCTTTTTCTTATATTATGCATTAACGAGATAGTAGTTGGAGGAGGAGGCTGAACAGGACGCGGTGGTATAAAGGAACTCAACACACGTCTTTGGGGTCGGTTTTTCGCCACGTCAGGAAATCTGTTAAACCGAATGTGTTCATCGTCTTTAGAATCTCAACCCGGCTCCATCCGAGGTCAACTTCGAAGTGATGGACTTTGTTACTCTTGACTAAGTCATCGGTTGGGTTCCTCTTCTACTCTTCCATCCGCACTCCCGTCGCGCAAACAACGCATGTCCCGGAATCACTGTGCTAGCATGCGCAACACGTGACCCAGCTATTGGAGCCTGTTGAGTGGTATAACGGTGCTGAGCACTTCACTTGCTCTTTCTGCGCCATAAACAAGGCGCTGCACAGCCTCATTGGTAGAGTGTAACTATTTGGTGGCCAAGTTTTCACAACCGTACACTGGGATCTATCTTACGGCTGCACTGTAAATTCTACCCTTCTGGGAGAGATTAATGTCGCGCCGGCACCGCAGATTGGCAAAAGCGCTTCTAAATTTTGCTATACGGTTCATTGTCTCAACTTCACTCCTACATTCTCTGATATAGCTGCTCAGGTAGTTGAACTTGTGGACAATTTCTAACTGATCCCTCGCCTTTGCACGATAGCCAGCTGTTTGTGACGGTGTGTTGTCTACGCAAGGTGTAGGCGCCTTGACCCTGAATATTTGCTTAGGGCAGTAAGGTTTTCAGGTAAGTCCCCTTCTCTCCCTCTTATTATTCTTTATTTCATAGGTCATCATGGTTATATGGCAGCGAAGTATCAGTTCAACTGGCTGATTTATTGCCGTTGATGATGATGATGACGCCCACCTAGGATTAGCGCAGGAGGCGGTCCATGCCAATTCTAGAGGAAAGCTTTTCTTTTAGAGGGTGCTAAGCAAAACCCAAAACGTCTGACAGTCACTGGTAATCTCTCCAGTCACACACGTTTAGGCTGTCATAAATCATGACAATGTCGTCGGCATACTCCAAATCACGAAGTCGCTCACCTGGAAACAACACGTATTCTATTTCATGTCCAGTGAACGCGGTTTGCTCAATAGGTGAGGCAGAAACACACCGAGTGAGAAGAAGTATAGCCCGAATGAATAGGCTTTATTCAGCTTGGAGCGGAGATGAGTGAGTTGAAAATGAGTATAGAAAGTTTGTGGTAATTAACAATACGAAGGTGGTTTTGGATTACATTTCATATATGTAAGTTATATCTCACGGAAGTTAAAACAGAAAGGTGACATCAGGTATGCTTGTCTTTTAATGCTGGAGCTATTGAAGGTCAGACATTTTGTTATATGCTGTCACTCTACGCGCATAAAGTTATGCCAAAATGCTAGCGTACTTTTCGGACACATATTTCTTGATCAAACCGTCCAAAAAGGCACATCAGTTCACCGAATCAAAAGCACATTTTAGTGTTAAGGAACGAAACGAAGTTAGATCACCAATGTGAATGGCGGTGCTCCAACAGTTTACATAAAATGAAGCCGAGGTCAATGTATCCTCGATTTCCATGAAAGCTGGCTCGCTTTTCACGAATCTGGCTTTCACGTGTGCCATAAAGTCTATGAAGTACGACAGAGGCAAGTAACTTGGAGCCGATTGTGATCACATTAATTCCTCTACGGCTGCCGCATTCCGGACGTGAGCTTCCGTTGAAGATTGGGGCAATCACGGGGCTGCTGTGGTCGGTTGGGGCAGTTTTTTACTCCCACAGTTGCGCTTCTGCACCGTTGAAATCTTCCACAAGAGCAGGTCTCCGGAGTTTGAAAAGGACTGTAGGAAGATTGCCTGGTCCTGCGAATTATACAGCTTCAACAGTCCGATCTCACCTTCAACTTCTGCGTGTGAGAGCGGGCCCAATTTGACAACCTAGGGAACTGGCGATCACTGGCTGGCAGCGAATTTAATAGTTGCCTTCCAAGTGCACAGGCCGGATCTTCAGGGTTTTCGATAGGTTGACTAATCTAGTCTTATAGTCTAGCTAACACCATTTCTCCTACTGCTCGTTTCCCGTATCAGACGGAATTACTTCCGACGGCTGTTTCCATTTCCGATGCACGATGAGTCCACCAGACTTCGCAGTATTCCTTCAGGCTAGCAGGCAATTTTGCCCTGAGATTTTTACGAGTCTCATTGTGTTCTGTTTTAGCCGGAATGTGTCAGCGAGCCTCCAGAAGTTCCAAAGACTGAATAGTTGCCATATGTCCAGGTTGATAATCAGATTTACCTCATGATTGCTAATTAGGTCTGGTGACCATTGACCTTCAACTGTGTTCAGTGGGCACATACACAGGCCGGATGCCAGCGTACTTCGATACGCGTTGAGCACATCTGACTTCGCCAGCTGGCGGATGTCTGTGTATTCACAGCGTCTTCGTGGGCGTCCACCCGCTTTTCTTTGCTGTTTTTTTGTACTGTCCCTTGATTGGATTGGATTGCGGCACAGTAGCTTGGGTGTTTCTCATCCCTGACTGATGTGTAGAACGATGATGAAGGCTGAGAAATACAAGCAAGGACTCATTCATTCGCTTATGTAAACCCTAGCTTGAATTAAAAATCACCTCAGCTACTGTGACATAATATGCTTCAGTTAAATGGTCAAAATTGTACTCGTAATTGGAGGGAGAAGCTAAGCGGCTGGAGGCGGGGCAATTCCCGCGACCATTTCAGACATTGGTCCTATGTGAATGAATATGTCGACCCGCCTCCTTCTCTACTAAGTCCATCGGCATTACTACGTATGCGAAATTACGACCTACGTTTCGTTTGTACTTTCATAGGAACCAAAGCAGCACTACGTCTGCTTGCCAGTGGTCTGAACAGCGTTGTGACGAATCGTCGACTCTCTGGTTCTAAACCTGACGACGATGACTGCACACTTCCCGTCTCTGGTGATACCGAATCAATGGCTCAAGGTATTTACGGTGCTGGTAATGCCATCAGCAAACATGCTGAAGGTAATCTACTCGACTGGATACCGGTGAACAGCCACGTGTATGCGGTTCGTCTATGAACTACCGCTGGAATTAATATGCAGCGTATGAACCTAAGGTGCTTTTTGTCGCTTTTGTCGCCTCTGAATGCAGTTCAGAGGATATCAAAGACCATTTTTATCGACAGCTCTCATCTCTTCTTCGTATGGGGAATTATACCGACATCGTGATTGTTGTTGGTGACATAGATGTCCAAGTAGTTCGTCTTTTAAACTCTGAACAGCACCTGAGTCGATGCACGACGAACAGGCAAGGGTAATCGATTCCTTCAACTGTGCACCGACTACAATCTTTACCTCAGCAGCACAGTTTTCCAGCACAAATGTTTTTACCACGTCACCTGGCATCCACCGAATCCCCCCATGACCTAGATCCAAGTTGACTATATTGCCTTCAGCTACAGCTGACGCACATCAGTCCAAAACTGTCGCTCAATTTGGAGCACGTGCCTGGATTCCGACCATGCTCTAGTGCGCGCACGCTTGACGCTCCCTTTTCCCGCTTCAAAGAAATGTCTGCCTTCTAAGCTTCTTACTCGTAACTTGAACTCGCAATATGCAGTTCAACACTATCACGACGAACTGGCCCACCAATTATCAGCAATGAATGGAGTTGGTGAGCCGAACGGCGACTGAATTTGCCTCAAAGGTGCCATGAAGAATGCATTTGACGTATGCAGTGCACCCAACTTGAGACGTCGTAACTGCGAGTGGGTCGATCAACTTGATCGACGCACGGAAACAAGTTCCATTGGGCACTGAGTTTCAGTGAGTCTGTAACTCTGAAACGACGCGTTGCAGGGAGTCTTCGAATTTACCGAGAGCGTTAGTGGATCGCAAGGGCCCGTCAGATGGAGAATGCCAGTGCTATTGGGACAGCCTAGTTCTGTTCTAGCTCATCCGGAACATGGGTCCGAAAAAGCCATCCGTTAGCGAGACAATAGCTGAGAAAAACGGGCCGCTGACACATTCTCTGTGTCGTCTACTAGCCCGTTGGGCGGAACATTTTGAGGAGCATTTCAGCAGGCCTGCTGCGACATTGCCGCTTGCCGAATCACCTGAGCCGTCATGGGAAGCAGATGTGACAACTCCCACTTTGGAATATATTTGACATGAGCTTTCTGTGTTGAAACGAAACAAGACTCCTGAACCTGACGATCTTCCTCTAACTTTGCTGAAAGATGATGCTGGCTCTTTGTTGACTGGGTTCGTTACCGTATGTAACACGATTTGAAACACTGAAGAGGTTCCTTTCATACGCAATTGTCAACTCTGTCGTGTCTATCTTCAAGAAGGGTCAACATCCTTTGTGTGAAAATCATCGAGGCATCAGCCCTGTTTCCATTGCATGCAAACTCCTCACGTGTATCATTCTCTGACAACTTATGGTTTCCGTAAGAACCGAATCACTGAAATCCAGGCTTGCTTCCGCCCTGGTCATGGTTGTATCGACCACATATTCGCCAAGTGGTTGAGCAGAGACACATACAGACGACCGACAATGGTGATTTTCCTTGACTTGAAATCTGTTTACCGAGCCAGCTTGTGGCACTGCCTATCCGTGAAAGGCATGCCGGCTAAATTTCTTTCTATTCTTAAGTCTCTCTACCGTGACTCCCGAGGCCGTGCAATGGTCTGTAGGAGACTCTCCTGAGTTTCCCACGACAAGTGGGGTTTGCCAGGGTTGTCCAATATCTCCTTTCCTCTTCAATTTTGTTATCAACCCCGTTCTTTCAGACTCTACTGGAGTGGAAGTTTTACCACGTGACCGACTGACAAACCTGGTGTATACGGACGATATAGCTCTTTGGGTCCGACGCAGTGGCTATGCAAACACTGCTAGATAGACTTGTGCGTTGTACCTCACGCTTCCGAATGTGCTTTGCACCTTCAAATTGTAAAGTACTGCTTCAGGACTGGACCGACACACCTCCGGTTCTAGCTATCAGCGAACAACCCCTGGAATTGTGGGTCGGTTCACTTACCTTAGTAGCTGTGTCACCTGTGGTGGTCACATCACTGAGGTTACTTCGCGTGTCAGCTAGGCCTGTGTGACTTTTCAGAGACTCAACCATCTATGGAGATGGCGGGATATCAGTCTGTCAGTGAAATGTAGGATGTATAAAGAGGCGGTAAGGCCGGTCTTACTGTACAGGTCAGATACCTGGCCAGTTCGCACTGAAGACATTAAACCCTTGACCGTGTTTAACCACCGGTGCTCACGTTTGTGGGGAACACCGGGTGAGCAATGCTGAGGTCCACCAGTTGCTTTTTGACAAGAAGCCTTCTGGGGCCTCACTGGACTCTGTTGAATCATAATCGCATGCGTTGGCTAGGCCATGTCCTCCGTATGCTCGTTGACCGGCTTCATCATCGTGCATTATGCGCCGTGGCTGTACCAGATTAGGCGAAAATACTAGGTGGTCCGTCCATAACATGGCATAGTGGCATGACGCAATTGACTGAGAGACTTGGTCAAGCTGGTGCGTGCCGTCTTCCTGGATGGGGGCCTCAGGATGATCCACACTAGTGGTTAGAGACCGAATCTCAAATGTCATAGCCACGTAGTCAGTGACGTTCCTGCATTCGGTTTCTTGCATCTGGTTGTTAATCTTCGTTCCAATCTGATTAGTTTAACGTACTTCCTTCTTGCTTCATTTTCTCTACATTCTTTTTTGCCTTAAGCCGCACTATCTTGTCACTGTTATTTATTGTTATTCTTGCGCTATGAATCGTGGCAACTGGATCCACCTCACCGCGGTGCTCGGGTCATAGTTGTTCTACTGGACTGAACCGAAATGGTCTGAACTGTCTCTTTGTTTTCTGCATTATATCGATATTTAGTAGCATGAGTCGCGAAGCCTTAAGTTCATTATATGATCTACATGATATCTGTGGGTATTTTGTGCCTTTACGGCGTTATAAAAAATGATGCTGCTCACTCTTGATGTTGCACTTTACTCAGCTCCTGTTTTGGACGCTCCGCGAAGCACTAGGTGGAATTGGATCGAACCAGTCACCACATTTTATTACTGATTCCTGCTAGGACTGTCTGTAGCTGGCGACTTTTCGGTGCGTTACGATTTTGGATTTCATCGATCGTCTTGTTCGCAATGCGTCACATGGTGCTGGTTGGAGCCACTTCTTAGGTCCCACCATTTGATCCCGACACACTTCTTGTCACTTACAGAGGTAGAGTCTCCTTCTCATGTGATGGAACCGCGTCCATTCATTGGATACCATCCGGTGCTTTCAATCCTAGTTATCTTCCATGAGTTTAATTCCCACGAGCTGGTCGTACAATGAAATGGTTTTATTTGAGCTAGTGTCATCAGACGATAATTTTCCTAATTCACTTCCGTTGGTCTTTTTCTCCCTAGAAGGTGATCGCAGCGATACACTGTGTGATAGCCACAGCAGGTTAGATGACACGGATGGTCGATTGACTCCGTCCACCTTTTCCTCCACTTCGGGAGCTGAGGATCACTCTCAGTTGTGGAAGTATCGAGGGCAGCCATATGAGCCATGCTCCACCGGACAGGTGAACCACTCGGGCGGGGCCATCGAGGAACAAAAGAGACATCCCACCTCTGAACGCGACAGGCTATCACAACTTATCGCGGATGTCAACGCTGATGTCTCTTCACCGAGAGAAAAGAGTGACACACTTGTTCCACCTTCATCACTGCGCTACATCTTGGTTGACAGCGAGTCTGGGAATGAGTTACCTGCCACTCCCTCCTCCAATCAGGTGGCGTCGAACGAGGTGGGTCCAGTAGCAATTTATACCATTCCTGTATTCGTACCTTATAGCGCTTTTGCATACTAATGGTTTCCAGAGAGATATTCGAACTCCTCAAGGCCGCATTCCATGCAATACTCCCCATTTTTGATTGTTTGCCTGTTTTCCTGACCGTAGTTTGCTCTCTTACTTATCCATGTTTTTGATGGTGTACACTTTGTCGTCTCTCCTCACGCCTCCAATGGACATGATACTCTTATCTACTGCTTCCTTAAACGTATCGTTTTGTGCGGAGGTTGTCTTCCTCCGACCTTTAGACCAGATGTGGATCAGGAGGTATTCCAGTCCAAGTTAACACCACCTTAATTATTTAGCATTGCTACGGTCTGATTGAATCGAGATGGAATGAGGTTTGAATCAGCGGAGGTATTTGATATTTGCAAGCTGTCGAACCGAGGTTATTCGGCAGTGATTCATGTCGTTACCGCAACTCGCACCTCAGGCTGTGTTCCGGACAATATTTTTAGAATTGATGCCAGACACTTGACCGGGGAACGATGTTGTACAGGGTATCTTAATTATCATGTCCGGAGCTAGGAGCGGCTGCACTGAGGTCCTGACGTACAACGGTATTTGAATTGTTACTTGTCCAAATTGCTTTGCCGGCAGGAGGTGAGATGGGCACAGAGGCGCAACATATGTGTCTACGATCGCAGGGCTCACGAGCCGTTCGGCTGTGAGAAGTTAACGTTAGCAAACACCGCAGCCGCAATCGATCTGTCATGCGTGGATCGCAAGGCAAGACCACCGGACCGCACGCCGTTCGGCTGTGAGAACTGGACATGAGCCAGACACCACAGCCGCACTGAACGTGTCATGCTTTGATCGAACGATATTCGGCCTTCACGCAGGCGAAAAAGCCAGCACAAGGGTTCTCTGCGGTGGTCAATAGTTAGAGGCCAGACAAACTCAGCCTCCTGGTCCTCCAGGTTGGGGTTTAGAATGAAGATAGCTCATTATTCCTTAAAGCGAACTTCTTGTAGCCCAACGCCAGACCCGCTGCCTTGCGGACAGGTTTTTTAACCGAAGACTTTGGTTGAGAAGCCTAATCGTTCTCCTGTCTAGGCCTTGGCAACCGGACAGTATCCTGCCCACGCAATACTATGAACCTTACGTCAAACACATTTCTGATGATCTGGCCACCGCAGAGGATAATCAACGGTGCCCTATCTGCTGCATCGAGCAGAGTGGATAGGGGTTCGGATGCTACTGCTCAAGTCTTCCCGTCTTCTTATTCCCCCTTTACGCTTTTTCTCCCTTATGGTCCCGTCCCAAATTCACTTTTCTCCCCCCAGTTTTTTAACCCCCTGATTTTTGGCCCTCCCCCAACAAGCTTTTCTAATCGTTTATCTTCCATTTTCATCTCAAATGCAAGCACAGAGCGTCACTCCTGCCCTGTCGACAACCTCATGTCCAACCAAGCGGTCCACCCCAGTTCACCGGCTTCCATTTGGAGCCCTCGATCGTCCTTCAGATTGGCATGCTTCAATGTACACACATTGCTACAAATCGGTCAACGTGCACCACTTGCCCGAACATTAGAGACCCTCTCAATCAATATCTGCTGCTTATCAGAGGCGCGCCTGCAATACTCGAGCTCTGTGCTCACTCTGCGATCCCCTTCAGGTGCTACCAGCAGTATTTTCTCATTGCGCCTATCCGGTGACGATGCAGCTTCGAGCACCGGCCAAGCTGGTGTTGGTATTGCCCTGAGTCCCCGGGCTGAAGCTGCTCTGGTTGCTTGGATCCCAGTTAGTAGCGCGATGTGTGCGGTCCGATTGGCTGGCTCGTTCAAAGCTTCGAAGCCGCACGGGACTAACAGGTGTCTATTCATCACCGCTGCCCACGCGCCCACAAACTGTGGCGATGATTCCGAAAAAACGACTTCTACCGTCAACTGAACCAGCTCCTTCGTCACAGAAGAAGTATGAACACTGTTGTGCTGGCGGGGATCTGAACCCTCAAGTTGGAAAGTGAAATGCATGCATGGTGAAATGCACCTGGACGGTCAGCACGGTATAGGCTCCCGTAATGATAACGATGAGCGGTTACTTCATTTGTGTGAAGATGCCTACTTATTTCATGGGAGCACTAATTTCCGACACAGCACCAGCCGGAGGGTGACTTGGTGCCCACCAGACTTGGACGCAAATCGATCGCATTGCAATCGCTTACCGATAGAGAGGCTGCATCCAGAACTGTCACTCGATTTGGAGCACATGTGTGGACACCGACCATGCACTTGTATGTGCTGACCTGCGGATGCGTTTTGGCCGACCCCCACGACGACGTTGTGAGCGCATTGACACCAGCCAACTAGCGTAGGCAGCTGTTCTGAATGTGTATCGAAGTACGCTGACATGCGGGTTGAGTAAGCGCTCACTGGAGGCAATTAAAAGTCACTGGTCGCATGTTCACCGGACCGAATTAGCAGCGGGAAAATCCTCATGTGGTAAGTCTAATCACCAACGTAGACATTGGGTCTCTTCGCGGTCTCTCCAACTTCTCGCTGCTCTCCGGCATATTCCGGCTGGGAGCGGACACAATGAAATTCGTAAAGAGCTCCGGGCGAAACTCCATGCTAGCCTGAAGAGAGACCGCGAATCCTAGTGGTCTCATCGTGCATCAGTGGTGGAAATGGCCGCTGCCCTTGGTAACCATTGTGAGTTATTCCGTCTGATACGGGAAACGGGCAGTAGGAGACATGGTGTTAGTGAAACAATTTGTGATGAGAGTGGACAACCTATCCACAATTTGTCAAAACGTTTTGAACAATGCGCTGAGCACTTTGAAAGGCAATTTAATCGGTCGGAATCGTTAGATTTCTCGCCGGCCACTGATCGCCCCGCTCTGTGGGCTGTCCCTTTGAATCCACCCTCTCGCTCGGAAGTCGAACGTGAGATCGGACTGTTGAAGTTGTATAAAGTCGTAGGACCAGATGTTCGCCATCCAGCCCTCTTCAAATTCGGAAGCCCTGCTCTTGTGGACGATTTACACGAATTACTAGTGAATCTGTGGGAGGAGTAAACTGTCCCAACCGACTGGAGCCGCTGCGTGAGTGTTCCGATGTTCAAAGAATGCTGGCGTTCGGAATGCAGCAACCATAGAGCAATCACCTTGATCTCTATCGCCTCCAAATTGCCTGCCTCTGTCATCTTTCATAGACTGACTGGCTTCGTGAAAGCCAGATTCATGAGGTGCAAGCCGGGTTTCGTCGGGGTCGTGGCTGCATCAACCACATCTTCACTTTGCGACAATTGTTGGAGCACCGTCACACTTATTGGGGGCCCAACGTTGTCTTGTTCCTCGACATCAAAGATGCCTTCGATTCGGTTGATCGATGTGCCCTTTGGGACTGTCTACTCAGGAAAGATGTGCCCGAGATATAGGTAAATATTATCCACACACTATATGCGAGTAGCACGGGCAGAGTGAGGGCTGAGGGCAAGTTATCTCCGCCCTTCAGTAGCTCCAGCGGTGTGAGACAAGGATACCCGTTGTCACCTTTCCTCTTCAACTTCGCTATTGACGAAGTCATGGAGATAGCATTCACAGGACACGACTTAGAAGGTGTGGAGCTACTCCCAAGAGACCGACTTTTTGTCTTGGAGTATACAGACGACATTGCTCTCATCTGTGACAGCTCCCAGACGTGCCAAGCTACGCTGGACAGATTAGCACTGGCTGTCAGCCGCTTCGGGCTTTGCTTCGCATCATCGAAATGCAAAGCGTTCCTCCAAGATTGGTCTGAACCGCCCCCTACGCTGACGCTTGGTGGGGATCAGCTGGAAGTCGTTCAAAAATTCAACTACCTGGGAAGTTGTATCAGCGCCCGTGGGATTGAAGATGAGATCCCGAATCGTATAGCAAAAGCTCGGGGCGCTTTTGCTAACCTTCGCCACTTATGGCGCCGGTGCGACGTCACTCTTGCCCTGAAGGGTAGAGTGTACAATGCAGCAGTACGTTCGACCCTAGTGTACGGTTGTGAAATCTGTCCGCTTAAAGCAGCGGACCTGAAGAGGCTAGTTACGTTCGACCGCCGTTGCCTTCTCAGTTTGGCTCACTTTTGGTGGGAACACCGCGTGAGCAACGAGCGTGTTCGACGCTTTGTTTACGGCACAGGAAGAGGAAGTGAACCGCACAGCACCGTTATTTCACGCACCAGGCTCCAATGGTCTGGCTACGTGTCACGCATGCCAGCCCACCGACTCCCGCGACGTGCGTTGTTTGCGCGCCGGGGGTGTGGATGAAAGAAGAGGATGGGTGGCCAAGCGATGACTTGGTCGAGAGGAATGAAGACCCTCACTTCGAGGTTGGCCTCAATTGGATCGTCTCGGCTCTCTGGTTGGGGTCCGAAAGACGATGAACACGTTTGGTTGGACACACTTGCTGACATGGCTAGTAGCCGACGTCAATGGCGTTCGTGCTGTGAGTTTATTTTTCCCTCCCAATGCCTTTTACTTCCTGCTCCAACCACGATCTCATTTTGTAGGATAATCTTATTTTTCATCATAATTTTTCTTGTTGCCTAGTAGCCGGCTGCTAGTTTTCCGGAACGATGCCCATCCGTTGCAGGTAGCTTAGCTGTCATGTAACTGTTGCATTTATTTTCTTTTTTATGTATTGCGGCACTGTAACTGAGGTTTTTTCTACCTCTAGCTAACGTGCATAATGATGTTGATCATGATGCGCAGTTGGTCATTTCTGTGCGTTCCTTCACGTTAGACATGGAGGTAATCGAGGGGTTTCACAGCCTCATTCAATGATATGTCCTTACCTGAAGCTACATTTGCCTTGTTTGAGTCCACCAAGTAAATTTCGCAACTACTCATTGACCACTGTCACTACTTGTTGTGTCACAAGATGCGCTGCATTATCCACTACGTGTCCGTGTATACCGCACCATGGTCTTACCTTATCGCACGGCCCTCATCTTTTGCAAAATATTTGACTTTATTATTATT